GGCTGTTATTAAGCTCCCGAGGTACTGAAAGCTCTCAGTCATTTCCAGCTGATCAACACAGAAGGTGAGTGCAGGCACAGGCTCCTGCAAGTCTTGAACCAGCACTTTGACGGTGCAAAGCACATACCATACATGGATACCTCTCACCAAGTAGTGTAAAGCTTGTTGGATTGCCTGTGCATTGTCACCCAACAAGGCCATCCATCCAAGCCAAGCTGCGCTGTTGATCGTAAATATGGCGCAGATAGGTTTGTTTTCCACGTACTGAAAGTCAACCGTAAAGCAAAGGTAAATGCACTACAGAATTGTTCGGTTCAGTATGCGCAACGCAAGACTTAGATACACTCGCCTCACGGTGAACTAGACTAGATCATTCAGTTTTCCTAATCCACGTGGACATTTAGGACATTCATTCGGCATTCGTTTAATGCGTGCAAACCCGACAGCACATTGCAATGCGATATGTCTCGGGATCTTATCTAGTTTGCCACTCTACTTCTCAGAATTTCACCCCTCAATGCTCACTTTCTAATAGAAGTACTCCCCCCAGGAAATTTGGCATAAAGGTGGTAATCAAAGAGTTCGAGGTAAGTTTTCTATTTCGTCCGTGTATTCTTACATCTTGATGGGCAGCCAAAAGTCAGCAACCTCCAGTATTCTCCATCTACGTTGACCCGATACCTCACTAGTCTGGCATGGCTCCGTACTAGTGATTCACAGCGTTAGTGATAATTTGTATGGTGGATTGGGATTGGACATATTTTGATAGGGGGAGGAAGGTGAACCTCGATGGTTAGCACACGAAGTACACAATGTAATTGTGTGTACATACCGTTTCAAACAAACGGGTGATCCATTCTAAGCTACTTCGATGCCCGAAACTTGAAAAAAATGTTGCGTGATCTATATTCCCAAAATGTCATATCCTTAACCATTATGTTTCACGTGCCAGGTAAGATTTTAAAAACATTGTTGCATCATCATCATCATCATCATCATCATCGACAGCGAGATACAGTGAAGCGAACTTCACTGATCGCTGCCAAGCTCACAATGTACACAAATCAAGTGATAAAGCACAAGACAGAGAAGAATTGGGCCTACTTGGAGAGAGGCAAAGAAAAAGAACCTCTACGGTCAACACACAGAGTATACAATCTAAGTGTGCATACATACCTTTTCAAGCATTATAAATTGATAAGAAATGACAAGAACGCCACTACTGTCGGTTCTCTGCCGTATGCTTCAATGTCTCCAACAAACCAGTTGTGGAGTCTTTCGGACCCCAACCTGGAAGATACGAGACACCTACTCCACCTACTAGCTCTGTGCATTTATTCATGCCTTGTCTCTACTTAGTCTGTTGACCTCCATGGAGTTCCCTCTAGCCCGGAGCGGCTACAGCGAATAAAGTGCGGTGCGGCAAACGATAGCTGGGCATACGCAATACGTGCCCTAACCAGCGAATCTTACTAATTTTACTGATCTTCGACGAGCTAGCAAGTTTATCACTGATAGACTCCCAAACACACGATGGCTTACCTCCGGATTACTAACCCATTAGCTCCATCCCACATGGGCTAAACTATGTATAACGGAATTGATTATAAGATTGGTGAGAACTTGTAGTGTAACAGATCACACGTTTAGTCGGCAGACAAGCCAGAAGACAACGCCTTTAATAATAGGCTTTAATCAACCTAAAACGAGGTATGAGAACTAAAGCGGGACAAGCTGAAATGTTTGAATATGCACCCAGAATGACAGTTATCTATGCAACAAAAGGGATAATAATAAATCTACAACACTGTGTAAACAACGATAATTAAAATTTTTAGTCGATGGATATCTTCTACCCGTAAATTCAAGGCATCAACCATATAGCAAAACCGAATAAATAGTAGTACAATATAAACGACCATTTGACTGATGTGAAACTCTGCGTCTACGCCAAGTGTCTCAGTCCTGCCTACTGTGATTGAACCTTGGATGTGCGTGCGATTCTCGTTTGTCGCGCCACGGTTATTGGTCACACAACTACCTAAGTAGGAAAAGCAATCCACTGCCTTGGCCTGGGCGAGCTGTCAATATTCCGCCCACATACAAATCGCGGAACGTTTTTCTTTTGTACTGTGATTTACTTGGCACACAGTCTGAACCCCGACGTATGTGAAGTATAATAATAATAATAATAACCTTGTACTTTGAAGGTGCAAAGCTCATGCCTAATAGGGCAACAGCACTTGTTAGTTTACAAATGCGCTTAGCTCGTCCACCATCCTTCGAACCGACAGACGATGTCATCAGCGTACTCTAAATCGCACAGCTTTTATCCAGCTGCCCTTTTTCAGTACCTACGTTTTGGTGGCCACTTAGTGCGTTCTCCATTATTTCGTCTGCAACGAATTGAACAGGGATGGCGAAATTGGGCACCGATGATGAATGTCATTACTGGTGACGAACGGCCTACTTCGTTCGTTGTAAACCTCCACTCGACCCGAGGTATGTTAGTACATTGATTTCAGTAAACGTACTTCTGGGATATCCCTTTTTGAAGAAAGGAACCCATTAGAGCTCCCCGGTCAGTTGAGTTGAAGGCTTCTTTCAGCTCAAAAACACTGCGGTCGTTGGTCGACGGTGAGTGTGACGCTGTTGCCACGTTGGGCTGAACGAAACGACCGGATTACACGAACCCCGACCAGCGATACGTGTGACAGTGGAGACCCACGAACAGAACCGTGCAACCCAGCGATAGAGTAGTGATTCCGGTATGCCCGACTGCGGTACCCCAAACGAGACACGACCGGACAGTAACGAGAGGAGCGACCCACAGACCAGTACGATCCCCGGAACCCGACCAGAAAGAAGGAAAGCAGGCCTTCAGGTTTGTATATTTGGCTCGACCGGAAAGGCGGAGAAAACGGGCAGCTCATCCGTTTACACAATTTGGGGACCGGCCATCAATGACCTTGGGAATTAACTCGAAA